CAGCATAAGGAGTTCCTACTGACCATCCGAAGGACAGCCGTGGTGCTTTCACACCACCACAGCCCAGGACACACATGATGTAGCGGTGTCCTTCATCACAGGCTGATACAGGTCCCCTCCCTGGCTCTCACCACAGGTGAGGAGCTCAGACACACACGGTTACCACCAGCGGCAGTAACACGACCCCACGTACCAGCACCACGTCTCAGACAGATCTGCAGCTTTAATTTCTTTTAAACATATGTAAATTCTCTTTTTAACAATACACCTGAGTGGCATGGAGAGGCACTTGACTGAGACTGGGAATCACTAATACAATAAAAAGCTATCAGGTACTGCGGAATCTGAAGAATCACAGAATCTTTTATGTAGGAAAAGACCTTTAAGATCAAGTCCGATTGTTAATGGCCAAGCCCACCACCAAGTTTTGGGCAGGATTCGAGGCGCATCAAGAGATCATCAGCATCAGTGGTGTGGAGATTTCTCTCCTGATACAATCTGCCCAAACCTTTCCGACTGTTCACTGCAACATCCCCTTTTATCCCCAAAATACGAGCTGGTGCATGGTGGCAGGATGGATACCAGCAACCACACAGCGCAACAACTTAAGATCAGGGAGTTTGTCCTCAAAGCTGCTGTGCTCACCCCTAGCTCTGCATGCCCTAATCCCCAGGAGGCTGCAGGCTGGAAGCACATCGAGCAGCCGTTTGCATGGTGAAAACAGCCGTGCTCGAGGGCGAGGACTCCTCCGGCGCGGTGGGCAAACCCCGGCCTCTTACAAAAGTAGCGGGATTTCCGCGTGAGAACGTCTTTGGAGCCAGATAACGCAGCCAAGAAGGAGGTGGTGAACGGCTGCGCTGGGACCCGGATCGGTGCATTTTGGCACGCTCACGTGCCGGGCTGGAGGATCCCTCAAACTGGCGGAGACATCTGGGTTTCTTACTGACTGCCCCCAAGAGTGGACTGAACAAAAATTGGGGAGTTGAATGAAATTTTATATATAATTTTTACGGCACTTTTAATTTCTCATAAAGCAGCAGTTAAAAGACTTTAGAGATTATGGAACTGCTTATTTTATGACCTAAGTATTGTAAAAACAATCTGCCTCAACCACTGCTGGAACCAGTTATGTAGATGGGAAACACTTTTGTAGGAGTGAGAGCAGCCCCCTTTCTTTTTGCTTTTTTGGTCACAATCTCCAGATTTGGGTTGTTGCATTTGATTCCTACTACCTCTGAGGTACAGGAGATATGGAAAAAAATATATATATATCAGCACCAGGAGGTCCAAAAAAGAGCAGAGCAGGGAGCCGGGTTACAAGGCACATAGCAATTACAAAAAGCACACTGTTAAATCTTGGGTTACAGACATATTCTGGAAGACAGCAAACCCATCTTAAAAAACAAATGCCTATTCTGAAAAAAGCATCACCTCCTCTATTTACAGGTCCACAGAAGTATCTGTGTTAGGGTTTTTTTCCCTCTCTGGAGTTGTTGGGTTTTTCTCTTTTCAAGTTGGCTTGTGGGGCTGGAGCCAGAACTCACTCCTAAATTGAGACGTAATTAGATGTGTCCTACTGTGTCTTTCTGGGCAATTCATTTAACCTCTATGCCTTATTTCGCTCCAGGTTTAAAAAGGAGGTGAGAGAATCTCTCTTGACTGCATAAAAAAAGAGCTACGTAAAGCCAAGCAAGAACTGACTTATAGCTAATACCTGGCCAACAACAGATGTTGAAAAAGTTACTTTTGCCACCCATCATTGTACCTCTGCACCAAAAGACTTTCAAACCTCTGACGCACACCTTGGAAAACGGCTTTTTTGCTGAGAGAAAACCCCAGAGGACATCCACCTCCACGTGCGGAACGGGTGCCTTACATCTCCAGCGCCATGGTCTCACCAGTGCCATCGTGCCACAGGGACGCCGTGTGTTTTTACCAGGTTTCTCACACCACAGCCAGCCTAACAGGATTTTTACAACCTTGCAGCTCTACCCTTTCTTGCCTCTTATGCATCAAAAATGCTGCTGACGTATACGGGACTATTCATACGACCAAGACATGCAAGATTTGGCTCTTGATGTTTACTTAATTTACTACTTCTCCCCAGTCCTCTGAAAGCTTTCTTTTTGAAGGTTGTAAAATTAATAAACTGGATATTCAGTGCTTTGAACGTGGGAAACAAGTATGTTTCTATGGAGGGGGGAACTTAGGGTGCAGGCAAGGGGGCCCCTGACGACCTGGTGCTTCTCCCGAGCACCATCCAGGCTCGCGTGTGCCTGGTGCCAAATCTCAGTCTGACACAATGGCTCATGCAGCCGTTTCCTTTTTATGCTGATGGAATAGCAACTTATTTATAAATCAGGACATATTTTATGAACCCACAAGTCTGGAGAATTAATTTACTGGTGCCCGGTTTAAGCACAAGACATCATCTTTTTCACCTTTACAGTTGTTATCTATTGTGTATATAAGCACATTTTCTTGTAACGTGAATTATATCTACTATAATATAAAGCAACCTATCTGCCCCACCTTCAAACCATGCTTAATATACAGCTAAGTCCTTGCATTAATTTGCCTCACCACTCGTAACCAGCTTATACCTTTGGCATTCCCAAGAGACTTAAACAACAACCTAATAAACTCCAGGATCGAAACTCTGAAGCTCCATTCCCACACCACAGAACTCACTGGAAGTGCTCCAAACAGCCGTAAAATCCTATTTTAATATGATAAGTGCAAGATAAAGCTGTTAAACTAGGTAAGGCTTGGTGGTGTGAGGAGAGGAAGAGGAGGCAGAGACATGAAGTCAAATATGCAAGTGGTGTAACAAGGATGGTGAGATTTACACCTGCACTCTCAGGTAGAAGATAAAAAATACCAAAGAAAACAATAAGCAAAAACCCTTGCAAACTGAAACACATTTTCTGAACATATCAGTTCACTCATGGGATTAGCTTTTCATAACACTAAAATCTTGATGCACCGCTTCTCAAAAACAGAACTGAAATTACCCCCGGTGTCAGCAAAGCCACCAGACAAACCCGCGAGCACGAGGGAGCGCCTTTTTGCTGCCAAAAAGGAAGAGAAAGACTTTTTCTGGGTTTCCCGTTCTGGGGGCTGACAGTGATGGATAGGAAGGTTACAGCACCAGCATCCGTCTCCATTCCCCTGCCGGAGATGGCATCCTGGGCCGGGGCTGGGGGGAGCAGGTCGCCTGCCCTGCTGCTCAGGTTGGCGTCACTTGCTCTTGAATGTCTGAGTGCTCCTGGTTCTGTCTGGCAAAATGATTGGAATTTACGGAATTGTGCTTTTAAACCCGATATTAAATGTCATCCGTTCTACTTAGCATGGAGGGCTTTTAGGGAAGAGATGCTGCTTAGTGACCCACGTTACCGATGGGGCGGAAAACTGCAGGGCTACGAGTCTGTTTGCAGCCAAAAGAAAAAGGAGGAAACTATTATTAATGATAAATGTTTCCTATTATTCTCAGCAACATCGCCCGTCCCTCTGCGGACACCGACTGGGAACACAGCTGCTACCGGTGCAGCCCCAACATGCTGATGGGACACAAATTAGACAGCAAGAATTTAGGACTGAAGGCGTTTCTGAAAGAAAAATAAGGCATTGCTTGCATTTCAACATATGATAGAGCTGCAAGTTTTGGATAGGATTCATTAAACTGGGATCTTCCTCCCAGGCTATTCAGCTGAGTGCTGGCAATTAGGAAAAGGATTAAATAATTAAAATACACTCCCTACAAACACCAAAAATCTTACTGGGTGACTTTTCTCAGGAATAAATTTCATCTCACAGATGAACAAAAACACGGTCAGCCGAACGTTTTCTAAAGGGGGGAAGAGTATCTTTTGACAGTGTTACCTGCCAGACGATGATGGAACCAAGACAACTCATTTCATGGAGTTATCAGAGACAGGAAAAGCAAACTCACCACTATTTAGACTCCAAGACAGCTCATTCTGAGGCCAGGGATTATTTTGCTGTGGGGTTTAATGGGGGCCACACCAGGCCAAAGTGCATTTCAGAAGATTCTGTAGTACACAGGTTTATTGTGGTCTAAACAAGATACATCCCAACCCCCACCTCAGCTGAAAAAGCCAAAAAGGTGGATATTTGGGGAAAAAACCCCAAATCTTCCCCAAAATACTTTATCAAAGATCTCCTGAGCTCTTCATCAACCCTATCAACCTCTGTGTTTTCCACAGCCACGGTCGCTAACCCACCGCAATTTTAATCCCAATAATAAATCCATCCCACTTGTAAGGGAGAGAGGTTCCTGCACAGAAGTGAGCCCTGCTTTAGCTTAATTATCAGAATAAGAAGAAAAAACCCCATTTTGTCAGTTTTGTGCTATGTTTTTTTTTATCCCTTCTCTCGAGCAGGGTAACAAGCAACTGGAGGGAAACCTCAGGATTTCAGAGCCGGCGCAGGGGTAAGCTAGATGAACTGCAACGCGCAGGGCTGAGAGCAAAGGCAGGGTGCTCTGCGCACACCGCAGTCACTTTGTCACAAGACATCTCTCTTCCCTAACAGTGACTCTGCAAAAGGGGTCTGCTTTGTGAAAACAGTTCCCTGCAGCAGACGGAGCAGACAAACAGCTGAGGACCAGATCTTCTTAAGTAAGCCAGTTATTGTTTGCAGAAACACAAGTAAACTGATTTTTGTTAGCCCTCCTCATGTTTTACCCACTCTAATCCCTTCTATTTTCCAAACCCTCCATCTCAAAAAGCAGAGATGGTCTGGAAAGCATCAAGGCGGCTTTAAAGAGAAGAAGGAAGGGTAAAGCTTTGGTCTCCTTAAATTTGCTGGGCTGCTTCTGTCCTGAAGATATTGCCCGGTGTCGTGGCGGACAGCACCAGCGAGCTCTGCGGGCGTTCATGGGTCCCAAACACTCGGCATCACTACAAGCCCTGGTTTGGCTCCCGACACGCCAACGGGCAAAGCGAGACACGGAAAAGGAGACGATTCTCGCGTCTTACGTTCGCACTCCTCCACGTCCAGGTTGAACTGCTGCAGGGCGCCCAGCGTCAGCTGCCGCACTTCGGCTTCCAGCAGCAGCTGCATCAGCGAGGTGGAGAGGTGTTTGCACGCCGACATGCATGCTGTCTGCGCCACCTTCCCCTGCAAGAGAAAAGGGATGTTTATTAAGGCCGTCGAGCACAAAATGCTAGAAGAACTTCTTTACACCAGGACTCGCTCTTTAACGTCCCAGTTTGCTATGGGACCTTGACGTAGTGCTCGACGTCGCAACCATCATCTTTCTAGGACTCCCCATTCCTATTAGCAGAGCTAGGCCTTGTCAGGTGCAGAGTGCCTGGGAGCAGCTCAAATCCAGGAAAACCTTGGGATGTTTAGAGTTCTAAGCATCTCTCATCATGTCCTAACGTGAGGAAGAAAATATGCCATGGTTTATTCCACATCCTACATAGACTGCCTGAAGTAACCTCATCGATAGGTCAAAATACTGCTGATAAGAACTCCAAACTCCAGCCCACAACTAAACCAGCATCTATATATATTTCAAGACAGGAATTTCAAAATCCCTTTCCAACAAGAAAGCAGAGAGCTGGGCCACACCGCTGTGACAACAGTGTCTCTAGCACACAGATGCTCTTCAGCCCACTCCAGCATCGTGCAGCACCTCCCAGATGCCAACGTGGACCAAGGAGAAGGAAACCTCAAGGGAGGGAGGCAACTGAAGACGTCAGTTGTGTTCACAGGGACAGGACTGCTCCCCAGGGCTGAGTGGCTGGGAACAACCTCAGGCACCCGGCCGCATCCTGCACCTGCTTGCACCACGGAGAACACGGTTATCAACGCTTGCCTTCTCCCAAGCCATCCTTAACTCATGGTGATTAACGAGGGGGTCTGTAGGGAGGAGGTTGTGGCTGAGGCTGCTGTGCAGAGAGAAACAACACAAATCTCTTGAAATGTGCATATCTATAACAAAAGTATAAGAAGTTATGAGTTCCAGCTATTAAAGAAACTGAGAATATTGTTGGTAAATACTTATTTTTAACACATTTTCCCTGAGCCACCACGGTTATGTTTCACTTGAGGAACAACTGAGAGCTCAAGCTATAAATCACGAGAACAGTTCGCAGCAAGGGGAGTTACCCTAAATAAGCTTTCCTTTTTCTGACTGAGGAACAACTGCAAGGCAAGAGGAGAGTCATCCCGACAGACGATTTAACGCTTCAAGTTTTGAACTGTGGCATTTGAAACAGCTGGTTTTCAAATTACGGGTGAAGCCCCTTTACTGACACAACTGAGCTGCTAGGTAGGAAGCCCAGGATGCCTCTGAGGACTTCAGATGTTCTAGGAAGAGTGGTATTAAGGAAAAGGATGGTGGTGGGGGGTAGGGATGGGCTGTGGAACAGGAGAAAGGCAGATGGGTGCTCAGAAAGCTCCATCTCCTGCAAAAGACCATAAGCAGGACACCGAGCTCAGGTACCCCACCCCTGACCTGGCTAGGGTCACCTACCAGGAGAGCCGCCATCAGAAGACAGGAAAGCTGAGGAGCACAGATGTGAAGAACTGAGATCCTCCATAAAGACCTACAGATCCCTGATCCTCTTGAGACACCATGAGGGGACAGAGGAGAAAAAGATCTTTCCAAGAGCAACACAGATGTCCCTACCGAGGCCTGGCTGGCCTGTCTTGCTGAGCAACAGTGGTCTGCCTCGTACGAGCCCGGTCCTCCCAAGAACCAGGCCCAGCAGCAAGCAAGGAGAACACCCTGCATTTAGCCAAGTCCTTCAGAAAATCCAATTTGACTGTCCAGAAGCACAAAAGGAAAATTAAAACCTCCACAAACCCATTAAACAAACTCAGTGAAGTAAAACCAAGCATCCTTTAGGGACACTGAACATGCGGCAACAATTTTTTTTTTTCAACCTATCTGAATTTCTCCCTCATTTCCAAACCCTCAAAAGATTTCTCCCTCCCTCAAGTATTGCTGTGTGTCCCACCCCCACCCCAAATGTGTGGCAGGTAAGGTTTGGCCGTTAAGATCTGCATGGGTCTGCAACATGTATGAAACTCATAAAAATGGGGAAATCCTTTGGCACAAGAGCACAGACTCGCACAAACCCATCGGCCAACACCGCACAGAATGATCCTGACGTCAGCATGTGTAACCCCATGATAATATTTCTGGATAATGGTGCTACCATGAAAACAGCTTCGGAGATTATGTTTTCAAAGGCACACAAAAGACTTTAACACGCTTTCTTGAAAACCAAGGAGTGGCTGAGGAGATCTCACAGATTTTTACAAGCACTCTCCAAATTGTATTTAAACTGGGATTAAAGTGAAGGGTTTACGCTGTGTTTCAAGCTAAGCATCACAAGTTTCACTCCCGCAGCACGGAGAGATGAGCAAACGCCTGATGCATGTGCTGGGAAGTGTTCTTACCAGCTTTGCAAAGTTGTTTTGGATCTTCGGGCCCTTCGGACCACATTCACCTGCAGCAGGAGGGAAAAAAAAAACCCCTATTTATTCAAAGAAGAAAGAGCAGACCCACGCGTTACAGGGCAGGGTACTTAATCTCCACTGTTCCCAGGCTCCAGGAGCATTCATTACCCACCTCCAAACAAACACCTTCGCTAAAATTAAGATGAAGCATGGCAACCATAAAGTTTAGCAGAGCCCTGCGTTCGGGGTTTTTTTGCTTTTCGTCATTTATTTGTGCCCTTCTGACACATCTGGTTATTTAAAACACTGCTCGTGCCAATTCCTCATCCCCAGCTGTAGTGGGAAATGCACTGCTACCCAACTGCAATTTTTCTTCATTACTTCAAACAGACACCTGAGTTTTTGCTATGACCAAGTATTTCTGACAAGTTACTGAGTAGAAGACCCAGATGGAAGCAGGGGATGAGAAAGCAAAGCTCTGCAGCCATGCCCTGGGACCTCCACCCACGTTGGCCATGGGGACAGGGCTCCTTACCCCTCCTGGAAGAACATGAGACAATCCCAAGGAGTGGCTCCCACTTGCGTATCAACAGGAGTTTGCACGGAGGGTCGCAACCCTTGGAGATGCTCAACCCCAGGTGAAGTCCCACTCAACGCCAAAGAAAAAGGAAAACCCTAAGGAAGGTTTCCTGCTTCACTGACAAAAATTTAAGAGGAACGACCTTCTTGCACACTGAGCAAGGGTCAGATCAGCAAGCGTGGAGGTACCTAAAGGGTTACGTATGCCCGCAACAGCCGCAACAAGCAGGCCTGCCCCGGTGCACGCATTCCTCCGGCCAGCCAGGCTTGCCCGAAGAAAGAGTGAATGACAAGTGACACCAGGAGGGCGTGAAGAAGAGCAAATAATTAAGATGAAACGTCAAGTTGATAAGCCCAACGCGAGGAAGACGGGATGGAAAAAGTAATTTAATCATCAGGGCTTGACAGCACAACATCTCTGCCGAGTCTTCACGCGAAAGCGGTGTGTACGTGGTACTTCAGGACATTCTTTGTGAGTATTTTCTACCATGGCTCGTTGCAGAGTTGGTAAAGGATCCAACCAACAAGCCCGGGAGCAGTTTCTGGCTCAGCCTTCCCTCCTCCTTCCTTTTTCACACAGGCTTTGGCCAGGCCCAAAACTTTTTTCAGGTGCAAATGTGCACTGCATCTTTGAAAACTCTGAGGCCGAATCTTCTAATGCCAGCTGAGAACACGACCTTTTATTTCTGTTATTCTTAAGGTTTAAACACCTAAAAAACATTCTGCTTTAAAAAAACACTCGGTCTTTCATCTTAGATTTAAGAACATACAGATCCCTGACAGTTTAGAACTAATATTACTGGATGAAATACAAAGTTGTGCACAGGTGTTTTTAAGCACTAATCCAGTCTTCCTTTTATTTAACTATCAGAGGTCTTGGGGATGCCACGGGGGTTTAAATCATTGTGCTAACCGATTTAAATCATGTCTGGCTAGAGAAGAAGGTACCGCCGGGGATGACCAGCATCTCACTCCCTGGGCACCAAGATTTAAAACCCTTCCAGAATTTATATGTTTCACTCTTATTTATAAGAAGCCAAACTTATAAAAACTGAACCAACCCCCCTCTGCCTCATCCCTACACTCAGTGCAGCAGATGCCCACTTACAGCAGCTCCTCGTAAGATCAGCAACGGCTTATGATCATCAATTTTAGACTATTTCTCCAGAAACACAGTGCAATATCTGCTTGATAAGCAGCTGTTGTTGACAGGAGAAAAACCAGCGCCAGGACACTGATCTATCACTCCTAATAAGCGGCTGCTGCAAGGGAAGGCAGCTGTTCCTATTCACACTTGGATGGCTGGGGCTGCACGCTGGCAGGTATCGAGTGCATCCCCACACCACAACGTGCCCATCTTGGTTCTCTGGCACTTATTTACCACGGAGAACCACTTCATAGCGTTGGGATTTTTCCCCTTAATTCACTTTTCAGCTTTCCCACAGTGTTAGGATGGCTGTGATGGGAGGAAGAGCCCCTGCTTGTCTCGGGGCGCCGGCCCAGCACACCGACACGTGGAGCCGAGTGTATGATGGATGTGTTTTCCACCATCCTCACCCCCCTTCCAAAATCATTAACTGCACCACCCACGGCAGCGGTGTCGGGACATGTGCCTTGGCATGGAGCTGGATGCCTCCGAGATGTCATCCCTAGACGTCACTGCTCCTAGAAAACCCCAGAGGAGCTGCCGTGCTCAGCTGGGACAGCTCAGACCTCATGCTAATCACCCTGACGATTTTTGCGAGTGCGTGGTGGAACCGGTGGCACTCCCAAAGTCTCACCCCATGCCAGCGCCCTGAGAAATCGTAGGGTTAAGTCCTGATCCCACTCCCCAGCTGGTTCCAAACCAGCTCGGTCCCTGCCTGTATTTCAGCGATGCTTTACCTGCCTGAACGCTGCGGTCCCTCCAGCTCAGGAGCAATTTACCTGAAATGCAAGATGGGATTTGGAGATGAAGGCAAAAGAGGAGTAATTCAACCGTGACCTGAGCTGTCTGCAGAGAAGGGGGAAGGAAACACCAAACTGGATTTGCATCAGGGATACAGGGGTCACGGGTGAAAGCTGACGGAGCTCAACGGCCAAGACACCCAAGCGCTGGCCCAGCCACCCCCACTATGCTCCAGCTT